CCCAGTTGGCAGAAAGCTCTTTTGAGAAAAGTCTTTGTCTTACTCATTTTTAAGACCTCCACAGCTCCCAGGGACTACTCTGGATGTTCAAAGAACATGCTTGTTCAAGGAGTGAGTGAATTAAAGAGTTAAAGACTAAGGACAATTCAATGTATCATTCCTCTTGCATGGACCAAATCTATACCTTAGCAGCCAATGTCTTAAATAACTTATTTCTTCGATAGGGAAAGGCCAATCAAAGCCATAATGAAATCTCCACTAGGGTAGCTAGTATAAAAAAATAATAAGAGTTAGTCAGAATGTGGAGAAATTGGAGCCCTTCTATGTTTCTGGTGAGAATGCAAAATTGTTGAGCAGCCATGGAAACTAGTTTGATGGTTTCCCAAAAAAGTTAAGCATAAAATTAATATATGACCCAGCAACTCCACTCTTAGGTATATACCCAAAATAATTGAAAGCAAGTACCTCAAAAATACATGCACACATGCATTCATGGCAAAAGGCAGTAACAATCAAAATTTCCATTCATAGATGGACGGGTAAACACAGTGTGATATGTACATCCAGAAGAATATTAGCTGTAAAAAGAAATGAAGTACCAACAGATGTTACAGCATGGATGAACCTTGAAAATACACTAAGTGAAAGAATCTAAAAACCAAGGTTCCATTTATATGAAATATCCAGAACAGGTAAATACATACAGAAAACATACTGGTCATTCCCAGAAGCTGAGAGAAAAATAATTGCTTGACAGATAATAGTTCTTCTAAAGTGATGAAAATGTTTTAGAAGATGGCTGTATAACTTTGAAACTGTACTAAATGTCAAATGTCACTTCAAAATAGATTATTTTATATGAATTTATTACCAATAAAATAAAAACAATGATTTCTTACTGCACAATAAATTATCCAATTATGAAAATAATTGATATGTATTTCCTTACACAGATGTGGTCAGGAATCCAGGCGGGCTTAGCTCGGTGGCTCTGGCTAGGGACTCTCCTGAGGTTAAAAAGTCAAGATGTTGTCCAGGTCTATAGTCATCTGAAGGTTTGACTAGGGCTGCAGGATCCACTTCCAAGATGGCTTCTCACATGGCTGTTGACAAGAAGCCTGTTTCTTGCTCTGTAGATCTTTCCATGAGGCTGCTTGAGTGTCTCACATAGCAATCGGCTCTCCTACAGTGAGTGATCCATGAGGGTAGACTAGAAAAGTCACAATGTCTTTTATGAACTAGCCTAAAAAGTTCCATACTATTATTTCCACAATGCCCCATTGGTTGCACAGGTCAACCCTACTCAGTGTAGGAGGGAATTACACAAGGACATGAATCCCTGGAAGCAAGGATCATTGGGAGTCACTTGGAAAGCTAGTTACCACACTCCCTTCTCCCATATAAAAGGGATAGGAGTGAATTAACATGTCACCAACAAAGTCTGAACTTGATCACCAAAGGGGAGAGCAGAAGACAGCCTTGAGAACACATGGTAGAAAGTTTGGGAAACATTGCACAACGAATAGCATGTTTGTGGGGAAATGTTTAGCTCATGCCCGAGAATGTACAGAAATTGCTTCACGCACATGTGTTATGATGAAAAGCTATACCTCCCAACAATTTTCTGGAAACTCATTTTTAATTTGAGGCAAGATCCTTCAAGGTAACTGGAGCAGTGATTCCTGATAATGAGACACCTAACTCACGATAGTATCATGGAACATGTTGTAAGGGAAATAGAGAAGCACATCCTGCCCTGACCCCTGTCCCCCAATTTCCTTTCATGGGTTATTACATGTCAGCTTGCAGCTTCCTCAGCAACTTCTAGGCACCTCTACTGCTCAACCCCTAAGTCACTTCCCTCTCTGCTCTGAAATGGCAATTTTGCCAAAGTTACAACTCTTGGAGGCAAAAATGTATTCCAACAGAACTACAGGCAAGGTTTTGTCATATCATGAATCGGATCTTCCAAGCCTGCTCAAATCAGATTGCTGTTTGGCACATTCCTGAAAGTTAGTTAAATCAATAAAATTTTACCAAAATCTTGACTTGGATCCACTACTTGGATGCATTCATGGAGGCAAAGGTCACTTCTCATTGGAGAGAAAAAAATTATCAGGTTATTTGAAGTTTTTACTTGAATATTTTTACTTACAAGTTTAGTAATAAGAGTATTAAGCTGGGTAAAAGATGGTGTCAGTCACCTAACAAGATCAGGAGCACTGGGAATGCTGGTTGCCCATTACCTGGCATGGACTTCAGGAAGAAGTGGGATAAACCAAGCAATGAGAGGCTGGATGGACATAGAGTAGCTCAAGATAGATGTGAGGGGCAGCAAGATAATGTTAGCCAGAAAATTATGCTTGGTCAGAGGTGTCCGTTCTAGAGAAAATATTAGAGTCTGGGGTCCTTGAATGAAAGAAAAGAGAGAGAGAGAACATCCAGGGAAGCTGAGGCAAAAGAGAAGGGATAACAGGAATACAGAACAGTTGGGAGGTTTAGAATGTGGGATCCTGGGTTCCTGAACATATGTAGAAATGAAGGGGCTGAGAGGAAAGAATCAGAAGGGCAGAAGAAGCAGCCATGGAAAACAAATGAGTATAATGGTGAGTGAATACAGCAGTATAAACAAGTGGCCTATGCATTAAGGCCAGATACACTGTGGATCACACCTTGCAAAGAACTAATTAAAAACAAACAAAAGACAGAAGGAGAGGTGTTGATGAGATGTAACTTCATGACTGTGTTACTGTTTTGTATTTTGCCTTGGGAATTAAGAAGCAGTACAAGTAGATGGAGCATGGGCAAAGCTTCACTGACTTAAAAAATTCTCATTTTTGATTCCCACTGAGTTCTGCAAAGGCAAGAAGGCCAATTAAATATTGTGTCATTGCAAGGATGAATATAGAAGTTTGCATTCCAGAATGAAACAAAAACATATAAAATAAGAATAAGGAAGTTTCTGGGTTATAGCAGGCAATAAATACATTAAAGAGAATTCAAATCATATTTATCAAGCACCAAACAGGACAAGGGATCCGGGCAAAGAAGTCTTGCTCTTGCCAAAGTTTCCAGGATGCAAGATAAAAGGCAAACAATTTTTCAGATGCCTGATTTTCATTTTCCTTTTCCTTCACCTTCTACCCTCAAGTCCAGAGACAAAAATATTAATGATGTCTCTCTGCTAACCTTAATTGAACTGTAATTGGAGCTTATAAAGACTATTTTTCATTGTTGAACATGCTATTCTGTTTAGATTTGGTTTTCCTCATTCACATTGTCATTAAAAACTTGATTCAATTGTTTGCCATTAAATTCAGCAAATATTTATTGCATACTATTTACCAGACACTGGTAAGTACTACAAGAGATAAAGAGATGAACAATGGTGTCACCAGTAAAATCATTCATTCATTCACTTCATATATATTTTTGAGTATTTCCTCTGTGTTTTAAATATTTGATATTAGAACTACAGCAGAGATCAAAACAGCATAGATCAAAACAACATCTCTAACCTTGTGGCGTATACGGTTGAGTAACATAAATGTGCAATTTAATAGCAAGACATGCATCTATACAAATAGATATAATGCATCAAAAATATAAATGGCAAAAATAAGGTGTGAGTAGAGAACTATAAATGTCTCCAAAGATGTGGTCACATTTGGCTGGAAATAAAAGAATAGGGAAAAGAGAATGTTGTTAAAATTTGGCTTGAAGGAGGGATAGGAAGAAGAGTAAGGCATGAACCAAGCACAGAGTTAGGACAGCAAGGGTTACATACAGGGGAAGAAGAGAGAGCCAGATTTGATTAGCACCTGGAAGAGGTTGGAAAGTGGAAGTCAGGGAAGCAAAGGTTAGTGGAGGCCAATCATGGAAGTCTACGGATGACTTTTGAGAAGTGAAGTGGTGAGACTGGAAGAGTTTATGGGATAGACTGAAAGAGATGTATGTAGGGCAAAAAATGAGGTGTTTTCTAAACTTTATTTTGGCCAACACTCATTCCTTAATGAGACTCATGGATTAAATCTAGTAATTATTCCTCTTTGTACATGGTAATTGGTCTTTACAGAACTAAATGCAGATTTGAATATATGGGTGAATCATTATTTATTAGCAAACTTAGTTGCCAATATTTTAACAAGCATTCAAGCACCATTATATTAATGACTTCATTTAATAACAGCTTCATTTATGAGATATTTTGTTGTAAAGCTGTCCTGACATTATGCCATTATTCAACCAAGACCCCGATATATTGAAGTGTGTGGCCCCAGAGACCGGTCCTACTGGAGGACATTTGAGGGGAGGAATTGGATAACAGACATCCAAATATCTGTACCATATCTCTCAACAGATGATGGATAAGTGGAGACCTTGGAGGTATGGAGGTTGTCCCTTAAATCCTCTTCATGGATTTCTAATTCCTTGAGGTCTTACCGCCACATCTCTTTTCAGACTCCAATCGCCTTTGTATTTCGAGTCTATCTTAGTGCCCTCTTTACAGATTTTTCCAAGAGTAGAAACTCATTTGAGGTCATCTGATGGTTTTCCCCTCTATGACACAGCTGCCATTAGTTTTGGTCTCCTCACTCATTGCACCTGGACTCAAGGCAAGAGGAGTGGTGCTTGGCTGGCTAGGACATCAGTGACTAGTAGTTTCCCTATATGCATGGAGAGAAACTCCAGCAAAATTAGTTGCTCAGCAGAGTTACCTGAGGAACAGAAAACTGTAGGTGGGGGCATAAAAGCAGAACTGCTCCTTTAATTTACAGCTTGAAGTCAACTAACTCCAAAGACCAGCCCATTTTGAGGAGAAAATACATGACTCAAGTGCACAGACTTGAGTTTAAAGTTTAGCACTGCAGTAATAGATCTGGTTAGTGCAAAGTTAGGAGTTGAACTTGGCTGATGCAGAGTTGACTGTATGTCATCATTTGTAAAATGGGTTAACAATCACTATCCCATGCAGCTGGAAATAAGAAGCAAATGAAATCATGACCAAAAAGGTGAGTTCTAAGAGGTTTTACAAACGTATGCAATTATATTTCCTTTTGATTCTATGCAAACAATAGTCCTTCCTATTTTCTCTCCTAGTGATTTCTGCAACATTTCCATTAGAGGAGTCATACTATATGTAAAGATTCCCTTCTTACTTTCAAAATTGATGGTTCAGTTAGCTTCTCACAAACTCCCTGGGCTTAAAAATAAAGGGTTCATCTTTTATTTCTTCCCCATTGTCACCATCTATTTAGAGATAAAGCACGCCATTTTGTTAGCCTCAGAAAGTCATTCTTTTAGTTCATTTTACTTATCCAGTCAATGATGATTGAATCTGCGCACAGTGTTTTTGGAGTAATGAGAATAGAGATTTGACTGTGAGATTCTGAACCCTGGGTGACCTGACAGTCTTCAAAGTCCATCTATTTGATGCTCCCAGGGCCAATTTTCATTAAGTCCATCAAGACTGAGCTGTTGTACTCACCTGTACAATTCTTCTTCTCTCAGAAGCAATATCTGCTTAGTTCTTGCCCTGTGGAATTTGATCCAACATAGATCTTAAGAAAAACAAGATGATACATGAAAAGGTCTGAATTGGTGCTGAACTAAATTGTATAAAGGCCAGAGTTCCTTTATGTTTCAGAGTTCAAGAGCTGGTCAAAGGTTCCTATATGGAGAAAAGCACCTTGAAATGAAAGACAAGAGGAGAGACAAGCCACATAGTGGGAGCAAAATATCAGAATATCAAAAAAAGTCAATTTGAGGAGGATTTTAGAGGAGATGAACTGAGGTCAGTTTAGTGGCTGGGCAGAAGGCAGTGCAGAGCCAACCATGTGATTTGGGGTTTGGATGAAGTGCTAAATCAGGCTAATCTTTTAGTTCATTCAGTGTCTTGGGATTCATAAGAATTCTTCCAACCACCTTCACTGTTAGTTTTTAAAAATCAAAATCAAGTAGCAAAAACAGTGAGCTCCTTGATTGTATATCAGGAGCATTTTTGGGATTTACCATTTGAAATCCTTACCTTAGTGATTAAGGTCATGGGTATGCCAGCCCACAAAGACTCATTCATATGCCATGTTTGCCTTGGAACCAGTAGAGCTTTCTGGAGAAAAGGAAAATACTCAGATGTAGTGAAAAAAAAAGTGATAACTGTAATTACATAGTAAAACTTGCTCTCTCTGAAAAGGTATCTGGATTATGGTTAACTACTCCTAGAGTCCTTTATCATGGCAATAGCTGAAAGGTTGAGGACTATATAAACTAGATTTAGGGAACAAATGGGACGTAGAAAATCCTATCATGCATGCAGTTGCATAAAGCCCCAGAGAGCAACAATATGAAATGCCTGGTAAGTACATTTTGTAATTTCAAATGTAGGTGTTCTCAGAGTCAAAATAGCTAAGGAGTTCTTCTCTCCACCACGGAGTCTTCACACTGAACCTAAGTGGAATTTTCAAGGCTTTATTTGGCACATAACCTTTCTGTTGCCAATCCTCTCTGTTTCAGAACATCTGAGTGAAAGATCTCCAAGGAACTATTAACTAATTTCTTAAGATCAAGAATCATTGGATATTAGGTATATACTCATATTTTAGGGTCTTGTCTTCCAGGGGTTATCTTAGTTACAAATTGCCAGTGAATGAAAGCTTCAGATACATTTTACATATGGCACCAACTTTAATAGCAAGATAGTCTTGCCATATCTCCTTGGCTGACCTTACCACACTATGATTAATGTTCATAGAGTAGCTATTCCCTTTGCCTTCAAATATGTATCTCGACTTTTATTGTTGAAATTGCGTGTGGAATATTGGGATATTGAGGGGCTGGGGAAGGAGAGATCCTGTCAATTCCAGCTGACACAGTCAATGCACTTGATCTGGATGTGCCAGATCAATAATACACCAGATAACAAACTATATTTATAAATATATCTTTATATATTACATATATTATAAAATAAGTGCATTGCTGCACTTTTCTACCCTAGACTGTTCCTGTCCCTATTCTCTTTCATTTACTCTGCAATGCCTAAAATTCCCTCAACAGTTAAAGCAGGCCACAGAGAGGAAATGAGTAACTACAAATAGTCACATTCAACTATAATCTATTTCAAAATAAGCTATAAATAAGTGGTACCTGGTTTTTTTTTATTCTCAGGCAAGTTAAGATAACCTAAAGGAAAGGAAATCAGGAGGACATCCAGAGGGGTGGGTGGTGAGCTGGCAGAAGGCAGTGCAGGGCCAATCATGCGATTTTGGGTTTGGAAGAAGAGTTGGACCAGAGGTTGGTGCCTAGTGGTAGGGAGTATGCAAGAAGATGCTGAGAAAAAAACTAAAGATCTTAATTACGATAACTATTGCATTCTGGCTGTGATGGTCCTGCTCTGTGAGCAGATGAAGTGGTCACTTATGTTGCCTAATATTTATCCCAGTGATTGATAGTAGAAGCCACACAGGAGGTGTCCTTGAATGAACAATACAACTCTGCTTCCTGTCAGTTGGCATACCCATTCAACCACACGGAACCATGGTCTCTTGATACACACACCCCACTCCCATACCTCATAGGCATGACAGATGGTGAAAATTATAGATCACTTAAAGATGGCTATGGACCCAGCAGAGCTTGAAGCTCTGGACTCTGAGCTCATCTGAGGCTAAGGAAAAAGTACCTGACATTTGTTTCCATTTCAGATAGAACCTTCCATCCTTGTGATCTTCTTTCTAACTCAATCTCTGGCCTTGATGGTGAGTAAAGTAGAGAATATCCAATCTCTTCAGCCCTCTTTAAGTAGAAGTATTTCAATGGTGATAGTTAAGAGTGACATCCCCATAATTTATTGAGGGTACCACTTAAACCTACAAGATACCAGCGAAGTAGGAACTCTGAACTGTCAACTTTTCTTACCTTTGTTTGTTTCTCCAGAATACCAGTGATAGCCATCCTCTGGATGGATCTGTTGGGACCCAAATCATCCATGTTGATGCCTTCCGAGGTATGGTCAGCATCCGAGACAACAATGTTTTCAGTGAATGGGATGGAATCTTGGACTACAAGAATGTAAGATGTGAAACATGTTCATTATACTGTCAAAGAAAGCTTTGTCTAGTCCAAAATGTAGATTAATACTTTTCCAGAGAGAAAAGGACATTGTTTACATTGGCCTCTTTAGATTCAGGCCCTTGGTGGGAATGCATGTCTTTGGGTAAGGGACCAGCTTTCCTCGGGTGCAGTGACTTCTTTTTGAGTGAGAGAATATAAGAAGAACTTTCCCAGTCCTCTAGGGGTCCTGTGTGTCTTTGTGTTCTTGTGAGGTTTTGACTTCACATGGGACTAGAGGTCTTGTAACTGAAAAGGCCCTTTGAAGAGCCCCTGTTTCTTGTAGCTGGTTATGGTGTGGAAGTTACACTGTCTTCATTCCAGGTTTTAATTTCTTTAAAAAGAAATGTATTTTCAGTTTTAGAAATATAGCTGTAACTTGCCCATCTCCTTGAGTAGTAAGCCCTGCAGATACGGGACCAGAAAGGAAACACACAAGGCACAGATGTGCCTTGGCCTAGCTCTCTGATAGACACTCACTATGACCACAAAGACATCACTTGGTCCTGTGTGCTTCAGTTGCCACATCTGTAAGACAGCTCCAGTAGCTGCCTTGCCTGCCTGGCAGGACTTGGAAAGATGAAATGAAGTAAGAGCCCTCACTCCTCACTCTAGTCCAGAGGCCCTCTGCCATCCAGCCCCTCCCACTTGTATCATCACATTCTCCCCAGCAACAATGAACTCCTCAGTACAGACACCTCACGCAGGAGTCTTCTCCACTCCCGCCATGCCTACCATGCTCTCTTCTCTGATCATGTCCCTCACTCTTCCCCTAGTTCACTCCTGATTCCTCATCCAGACATCCTGAGTCCTCCAAGACGGACCCCAGTCTAGAGATTTCCAACTCCATTGTAAGGCCTGTAACCTTTTCCTCAATGAAATATTCCATAGTAAGCCACTAGGCAGTGCCCAGGAACTCCAGAAGCTGGAGAGGATTCACTTCATGCAGGTGCACCTTGGGTGTATTCAGACCCAGCTGCAGTACGCTGCTGCTCTGATCTAAGCTGAGTGAGGTCAAATGCCAGGCTGCATGGAGGGGGCTTCTAAGGCAAGCCTTATGCTAGAATCTGAGTCTAGTGATCCTAAGTAAGGCTCCTAACAACCCTGGACCTTCAAAGCCCCTATAATTTGCACAATGCCTCCCAAGCAGTTAGCATCTCATCCCACCCTCTCTCATGACAATTTTGTGGGAGAGGGGCTATAATTCTGCTTTACAGATGAAGAAACTGAAGGTCAGGGAGGCTACTGTGGCTCTGATGGCTCTGAGTGGCAGAGCAAGACCTTAAGTCAAGCATATTACCGGAGCTAAGTCCCTATCCATGGATGCTCATCTGTCATTAGCTGTAGAGTGCCCTGGGGGATGGGAAGGGAGGGTTCTTTGGGAGAGTGAATCTTCTCCAGTGTCACAGGACGGTGTCACAGGGCCTGGGGAGCAATAGGGCTCAGTACAACTACCAGTCCCAATGCTGACTTTCGCTCCGGCCCAGGGCAGCACACTAATGAAGTACTCTATATCAAGGTTGGAAAAGCAGCAAGTACCAGCACCCCTGGAGAGAAGGTGTCAATTAATATTGTGATTAAATAAGTGACATGTTTCCACTGTGTTTCTTTAAGGCTCTCTTGGCAGCTAAGCTATTTAGCAAGATGGCCTGTGTGCTGGCCAAGATGGACCAAGTGGTCTTCCCAAGTTTGAGCGACATTAGCAAGGCTCTGAGCAAACAGGTAAAGTGATACCAGCTCATTCTGGTCCCTTCCCACTCTGATGTTTTCCCACTTACAACCAACCTCCAAGGACAATGAGTGTACATGGCTCGGGAGTGGGGGGGCTACTCATTCATGATTGTTCTTAATGCCCGTGAAATCATGCCATCATACAAAGGACAATGAGTCCACCAATGGCCCATTCAAGTCAAATCACAATTGATAAAATGACTTCATTCTGATGTGTTCCAGAAGTGTTCAGGCTACATGTTAGTGAATGTTATGATAATGAATTGATGAGAAAAAAGCACAATATAAGTGTAGCAAATAATTTCTAAACTATTCTATATTATCATTTAAGGTAAGAAAATAATAAAGGGTAAAAGGAAGACAAGAAAAGTCACCAGGACATACAAACATACATACAGATTTTTCTAGAGTAATGGCGCCTTCTTGTGGCTAGATAGGATATTGCTGTTACAGACAGCAAACCAGGGCCCAGGGATCCGTTTTTTATCCTTCAATACCACTTCTCCATGCTGACTTACTGTTTTGATACGCATCTCTTCCAGAATTCCAATCATTACCCAGCCACCCATGGCCTGACCTACACCGTTCTACCCAGTCGGGTCAAGAACTTAGCGCAGTATGGAATGCCCATCAAGAACCTGTGCAGAGCGGTCCCCACCTATTTCGCCCAGCAGCAAAAAGAAGGTGCGTTAACAACTTTACTAGAAACACAAGACCACACAAAGATGCACTGTGATTTTTAGACCACTGGCAAATGCTAATGACAGTTTATTCTAGTTATTTGAGGCATAAAAAAAAAAATGTGGCCTAGGATGTATTCTCCTCCTGGTAGAGATGGGTTTTTTTTGTTTTTTTTTTTTGACACCAGGGCTCATTAAGAGCAGAGTTAGCCTGGCCACCTCATCTGATGGAGTTGACAGTTGATGGAAACCCTTATCTGATTCAAGACTTCATCAATCCCCTTTCCAAGCAACACAGTGCCCCAAATCCCACCACTAGAGAGGCCCGTTGCTGTGCTATCCTCAATCTTCCTCCTTCTAAAGCCACTTGGATTTGGGAAGCAAACACTCATAGTTGCATACCACACTGGAAAAGGAGCATCTCAGTGGCTGTCACCCCTGCTGGGGTTCTGATAGAGATCAGTGGTGATTAACCTGGAAAGCTAGCGGGTAATACTCCAAGATCTGCCTGGTAGTCCAAATATAATAGGTTGCCTCTCTCCTTTAGGCTCCTGCCAACCATTTACACCTTAGTATAAATCCCACAAACATAGCTTCTTCATAATAAGAGGATCTGGGAAGAAAGCAGGGAGAACTTGAGGGAATGGGGGACTAAGAAGAATAATTAAGGGTCAATAAAAGAAACAGAAAGGGAAAATGTAGACCTAGTTACTACAGAAGTCAGCAAGAGGGGATCTTCTGTCTCAGCCCCACAGTCCCTTGCTATCCCAAGTGCCACACCAAATGTAGGTGCAAGTTACAATATATCTATTCTACTTAGGGGTCTTTAGCGATTTTTTTTTTTTTTTTGTAAAATGCTTCTCTTTTTTCTCACAGGTACTGCCCTGGCAATGGACCCTAACTCTTGTTTTGAGGTCCAGCTTCTGTCCTTTATGGGACTCTCCATCTGTGGTGAGATCACTGGGCTCTGAATCCCCAGGTCAGCCCTGTGAAGAGTGGATCTGCCTGGCCTGGGCTCCTGGCCTAGAGTTGGTGCCCAGGGACCAGTCCTGCACTCTGCCTATGGGAATCTGCTCATTACAGTCCTCCACCTTCTGCCTTTCTACCCAAAACCCTGCTCTGTAATCTGGAAAAATGGGAACACCCTCTCCTTCCAAGAGACAACAATAAAGTTTCTTTCTGTCATTGGTCTAGCAGACAGGCTCTCCCTGCCTTCCCTGTCCTCTCTCAGCCATCACACACTGTGTGGTGCAAAGGAGATGCCACTACCAGGATGTCTCATTTTTAAGTTTTTCTTTGGGATACTCCTGGAGGTAACTCTTGAAAATTAGGAGTAAGATTCCAAGAAAATTAGGAGTAAGATTCCAACTTCTTCCCTATGTTTGCACAACTTGCACCGTGAAAATCTACAATAGCAATCAAGTTATCCTCCACTTGGAGCTGGTCTAAACCCCTTCATGGCAAGCCCCAGGCAGTTGTCTCTGTTGCAAATTAATAAGGGACTCGTGTGCTTAGCCCTCATTCTTTAACTGTCCTGTTTATGGGGAACGTCTTGCTCCCTTCCCTACCTCCACACTGTATTAGTCACTTTCACATAACTGTGATCAAAATACCAGCAAGAACAACTTAAAAGAAGGAAAGATTTGTTTTGGTTCATGGTTTCAAAGGGTTCAGTCCATAGTCACTTGGCCTCATGCTCTTGGGGAAAACATCATGGCAGTGTGAGCATGTGGCAGAGGAAGTTCCTCACCTGATTGTGGACAGGAAGTAGAAAGAGATCAGGAAGGAGCCAGGGAAGAGCTATCCCCAAGGACCCACCCCTAATGACCTGCTTCCTCCAGCTAAGTCCCATCTCCTACATTTCCCAGAACCTCTCAAAATAGCACCACCAGCTGGGGACCAAGCATGCAATTCATGAGCCTGTAAGGCACATTTCATATTCAAACCGTAACACACCCCACATGGTGTCACCCCTAACTTTCCCCACCACTCCTGCTGCCCAACAGACTCAGGGATGAGCCTGCTGGCCCTGAGCTGGCTCACCTGCCCCAGGCAGCAGCTGCCCAGTGTTCATTCTCTGCCTACCACATGCTCTTAGTTTCCCAAGGGACCAGGAGCTGTGCAGCTTACCATGCCTGGAAGGTGTCACTTGTTCCTGTCCTGCCACCTGCCTGTGCTGGAAACCACCCACCCCCCACAGCTCAACCTGTGTCCCAGCAGTTACTCCTGTGAATCTTGTCATTGTCCTCTGTCAATGTGGGGTGCTTTTCAGCCTGCTGTCCCCCTGCCATCCACAGCAAGCAGAGCTGTAACTGTTCACTGCCCACAACCTCTCCAGCCATGAGAGAGGACCACAGCACAGGGTCCTCTGACCTGGCTCCAGGCACTGTGAGGCTGGAGCACAAGACTTCAGTGTTGCTGTGGGCTACAGCAGTCACCACCTGCATGGCTCATGAGACTGCTGAAGACAGGGTGGATCCTCTTTTCCATTCAGTTGTATTTTACAAGTTAAAAATATATCAACATTTTCACTGAGGCATAACATGCAATGAAGTGCAGATTTTCAGAGCATAACTCAAGGAATTTTGCATATATATCCCCATGGAGCCATCACCCAGATGAAGAAGTAATATATTCCCAACACCCAAGAAAGTTCCCTTGTGCCATTTCCAGGCAATACCCTTCCACACCCCTCAGCCTCAAAGAAATGGAGAGGGGCAGTCGTGGAGTGTGTGAGGAGTTCTCAACAAAAACTAAGCAGGATTCTTGAGGTAGAGTCAACTTCAGATTATGGGGGCTATGTGTTCCCCAGGGTTCCTATTGTAGATGTTAATTTGGGTGGAATAGGAGATGAGAGAAGCCAGCTAAGAACATGAAGAATAGGATGGGAGGGTTGGCCACTGGCCAGGCATTGGGTGCCTAAGCTGTGCTTTGTGGGTATCAGAGGGAGGCTGAGGGGTGGACAGCCCCAGTAGAAGCAGCGACAGGTGAATTCTTGGTATGTCCTTTCCCAAGGTCACATTCTACAGTGTGAGTCGGGGGGACCCACACTGCAGCCAAAGACTTCTTCCCTAGTGCTTAAAAGCGTGTTGAAACCCCAAGAAAAAACCACTCAAGTCAACTCAAGACAGCATGTGTCTTGGGCCCTTTACATCAATACTGCTGCAGCCTTGGACATTTTCCCAAGGATGAGATGTGAGGGAGCCCTGGGGACAGTATCTGGCTGGTAGAAAGAGCAGCAGACCAAGCAGAGCCTAATAGTGAGCTTCAAGTAACACTGCCATCTCAGCCATTCTAGGACCACAGCAGTGTGAGTGTAAGAACTTGGAGACCCTGGGATTTACAAAGGCCTTGGTGGTGAGGGTAGTGGCATTTTCAGTGCAGGGTGGGATCCTGGATAGATATGCTCATTGGAACAACTCCAGCCTCATTCAGGTACATCTGTAAGGAATACTTTTCAACTGCAATTTAAGAGAATGCAGTTACAGTGACCTAAACAGATGGAGAACGGTCAGTCCAGAGCTTGCCCAACTGGGGAATGATACAATCAGGCATTCTTGCTCTTTCTTTCCTGATCTTTGCTTTCTAGGATTGTTACCTCATGGTCTCAAAATGGCTGAGACATCCCCTGACATCACCATCCTGTCTCCATTGAAGGAAGGGTAAGAAATGGCAAAGGGCAGAGCTGCATGCCAGCTGAGTCTGTCCCTCTGAACCAGGAAAGAGAATCTGACCTGGAAGTGGCACGTAGCAGACTTCCACTTACATCTCATTGTCCAGAACCACGTCCTATGGCTACACCCAGGCCAATCAAGCAGAGGAAAGTGATATTACCTCATTTTCTTAAGAGAAACCAGACTGATTTGACCCAGGTTTTCTTACCAGGGGCACTGTTAACTATTCTTTATCGTGACGTCCATGCTGTACACTGTAGAATGTTTAGTGGCATTTCTCGTCTCTACCTACTGGATGACAGTAGCACTCTCTCCACTTGTGACAAAAAAAACCCTGATATGTCTAGATATCACCACATGCCTGCAGGGAAGGAAAGAAAAATCACACCTCAGTTGAAAACCACTGAGTTAGACTAATCACGCTTAGTCCCCTGGAACCAAAGGACTATATCCCCTACGAGTAAGGGATTTTAGTTGCTACTTAAGCAAATTGGAATTCTGTTAGCAGGAAAAAAGGGAGGTGGGAAATAGCCATTGGATAAATTGGTGGGATTTTTGTCATGGAATATTAGACAGCTCTGATCAGCAATAGATGAGGGAGCCTTTCTTTCAAAGGCCAAAGTCTCTTTAGTTTCTGCCTGCTTTAGGTCACTCGTTGCCTTTAAATGGCTCTTTTTAATATTTGCTTTATAATTGTTATGGCAGGAGGGCTAATCTGCTACAAGATAGCTTGCCATTGTTCTAAGCTAGAAGTCTCAATACTTTGTTTGTTCACCAATGTATATGGATTATGTTTTGTAACTCATTGTTTTATAACAACTGAGCTACCTCATTGAGTCAACTGTCCAAACAGGCAATTGCATAATAAAGTATTTAGGTCCATATAATTCCATCCTGGAAGCTCTGAATCAACAAATTGTATTTAAGTCTACCTCAGATGTGCAAATGAGTGTATATGACATGTGATATATCATTTGCTATGAGAAATAAAACTTTATAGGAAATGAGAACCCCATTTATAAGCATCACCAGGCTTCCTGAAAAAACACATTTGGCCCCTCCTGCACATGGCTTCACTCTCTGACCAGCTTAGTAACCTGACCAGCTCTTCTAGCACCCACAATGAGTTGTGTTCAGTCCAGGTTTGCTCCTCCTTCTTGATGGTCTGAGCATCCAGTGAGTTAACAAAGTTAATAGCTACTTTCCTGAGACCTTATTAAGGGGCTAATTAAGAGAACATATAACATAGATCCAGCCTCCCTATATCCTCCATGTGGACTTGTCCCTTTTATGCACCTGCCTAGTACATTGCACCTGATCTTATCCAATATTCAGCATAGAGAAGTTAACTGATTCAGAGAAAGGGTTAGGAAAAATTAGAATGCACACAGTTGCTTTCAAAACAGGACTGATGCTATAAAAATTAATAGGGACAGAATATCTCTAGGCAGTAAATTCCAAAAGAGATTGCTAATCCTAACACTCCTTTCTGTATCCTACCCCACTCCTGACCACAGGAGTAAGAAGGTGCCCCACGTGAATGAATTAGGGTCATCTCCATAGATTCTTTTAGTTTAAAACTAATTAAAAATCAGAACTAAGAGGACCCCTTCCTCTCTGTCTCTGCATCTGGGAAGATGAGGTCTTTGGGGTTGACAGCGGTATTGATTCTATCCTCATGGAGAAACGAGTATAAGATACGAAGACTTCCATGTAGAGAGAAGGTGACGTGAGTCATGGGTCACCATCAAGTTCAAAATCCTAGCTATCCAAGACCAGACTATCCTTTTCCTTCCATGGCTAGTTATATGAGATAATAAATTGCCTGTTGGCCTTGGCATATTAGACTTAGGTTCCAATACTTGCGAACACCAGGGTCCCAAATAAAATGCTTTACTATTTATTTACACTTTATAACATACTCTTTACTGTCCTCATCAGATATTTTTATATAAATGCTTCGTCTCCTCACTGAGAAAATAACTTTCGCAACTACGGCAGCTTTGCCTTGGGCCTCATCCTCCAGCGTACCTGCCCAGTGCTGAGCGCATGGAGAATGATTAAAATATATTCATTGATGGCTGTCAAAAAGCAATCGTTCAGTGTTAGAATGGGGGCAGTCAATGGCAGGTGGAAATTCTTGTTGAAGTAGTGTCTCTTTGCTCGGAACTTGCATCCAGTAGGCCAGACTACATAAATGAGATCCAGCAATTTAAACTGGAAACTCACCCACGTAGTGCAATTTATTTGAAATCTTGGAAATTGCTTTCTTCTTATGTATTGACTTGAAATCCCAGCCAGGTATTCATTCCTGTTAAGATTTTCATCACAGAGCATCTGTTCTTGGGTGTTACATGTTTCTTTCTCCTCCTCTGCCCTTACTCCAGGTCAACACACATCATAATAGTGTTTATTAAGGTTGAGTCTACTGCTTTGGTGAGTTTAAAGATATTTCCTAAAAGCATGTAGATAGCCCTGAAAGCTGAGTGCTTTGTTAGAGAAGACAGTTTCCTTCATCTGGGCAGTCAAGTTGTTTGCTGAAGGTATACCAAGCCCCTCCCTCTCAGTGCCCAAAGCCATCACTACCTGAGCCCTTGCTCCTCTAGGGTTGCCAGGTGCACTGGAACCAGATGTACTGCTCTGGACGGAAGATGCAGACAGAGGTGGAGACTCACACCCAGCTGGTGAGTCTGTATGTGGCACAGCTATGATGTCTTGGAATTTTCATACATTATGAACACCTCATCTGAAATCCTGGCTTTTTGTTTTTCTTCTATACATTGACATACATTGTATGTCTATACATTGCTTGACTTCCATCTGCTGCTTCCAAAAAGAACAAACATTCAGATATTTGTAAATATAGCTTTTGTGTTTTATTACTGAATCTCACAATTAGGTGGAATATTGAGAAAGAACTTAATTTTGCTTCTGAGTAGAAGCCAAGAGCATCTTTCTTTGAAAAGATGAAACTGGTAGGCTGATTGTCCTAAACCTTGACACCTGCACAGATGGAAATTCCCAAGATACCCAGGAGCCCAGCCTTGGCACAACCTCCAACACCAGCATCATCTGGAAAGGAGACAAGGTTTTAAAGAAAGGGTATTAGAAATATAGTAGGAAAACATAATAGCTATATAGATATAGATATATAGATGCAACAAACCAATGCCTCTGTAAATGTCTTCACAATTTCATGTTACCCAAAATTTTAGTTATATTTCATTGCAAATATTAAGAACACCAAAAATAATAATAACAGTAATAAATTAGCTTAAATAAGATTTGCAATTTCTGGAAGTATTGACTCACTCAGTTCTAGTTGAGGCAATGATATTCTTTGCCTTTATAAGTGACAGTAATTACTTTTTTCCTGAGCGGTAGAAATAGAATGAATGCTAATCCTTTTCTTCCTTATCTCCCTTCCACTACTCAGGAATTTATTTTCTTGTGATTGTCATCTGTCAGCTCTGGCTACTCTACCATGTAAGAAACTTTGTAAAATTCAGTAATGACTTCAGTACCTTGTGTTTCCTGGATGGAACAAGGCTTTTGTTCTCTGTCAGTGAATGTCACTTACTCTTTCCTGGAAGAGTTCTATCCTAGATTCTAGAGTGCTATCCTAGAATTGTCAAGAGAATTTCTTAATGATTTCTTTCTTACTATCTCCAACAGATACTGTTCTAAGGGCTCAGACAACTTTTTCCTACTTGAGAACCCAGTAGTTCTTCCTTGACAACCAGGAATCCTTTCTTTCCTTTGTTTGTACTCATCACCTTCTCCACTAGACTATGTGTTCCATGGAGGCACAATCTTTTTATTTCTGTAACTCTAACATTTAGCACACTTTCCACACATAGGAGGGATTTAATTCCCAAAGTAAATAAATTGAATCGTGTATTCATTTATTTGTATTTCATATAGCACCTACCAGAATGTGGGGCATACAGTAGCTTTCAGAAAATGTTCAGTGAATGAATGATTTGTTGGTACTCACCTGACTTTTCAACTATTTCCCCTTTGTACAAGGGGATGTTTTTGCAGAGTTGCTCAATGGGTGACCCAAATAGGAACCAGTCCACCTTTGTGAGCAGAGACTGCAGAGGGTTGTACCTGACCCAAGTGTACTCAGTGGAGGACATGGTGTTCATCATCTAGACCAGCAAAGGACAGCAGAAAAAACTGGTAAGTCTGGTGAGCCTTATTCTAAACAGTGAGTGTTTTTCTCTTTCAAATGATTAAATAAAAGACAATCAGGGGTCTTAAGTCATCCTTTTTCTGACCACTCTGTCTGAAGAGAATCCTCATCATTTACTATTGCTACTTTACAGCTGTTGTCGATGAAGCCCAAGAGAAGGTAAAACTCCAGATACAGACGGTGAGGGAGGCCAAACCCAGACATCTAGCCTCGGTGCAGTGTTAGAATACTCTCACTCAGTTATTTTTTTTTTTTCATCTTGTGTAATTGAATATTATAAATTTATTCATTTTTTTCTGCAAAACACCCTTTCTCAGATCTCTCAGCTCTGAGAAGAGAGTCTATTAAGTTCTCTCTACAAAGACACTGGAAGTTGTTACTAGTTCATGTACTTATGGCTACTCTCTCAAACATAAATATAAAAATGCTTTAAGAAGCTGAGTACCAGATCCAGGGTATGATATAATGGTATGATCTTCTTTCCTACTTTCTTCATTTCTCCATTGACACCAGCATTGCTTGGCTGAAGAACAGAGAATTTTTAAGATTGGCCCCAAATTACCTGCTTCTCATACATGTACCGTTGGAGTGTGTCCAGAGCAGGGATGGCTTTATGGTCCATCTTTAGGATGTAGCAGGCCCTTCGGGAGAGCACCCGGGTTGCAATGTACCTCTGAGGAAGCAAGAGCAGTTAATGACCTTCCCCAGTTCCCTGGGTTCTGAACTTGGAGGAACGACTTGAGTACACACAGAAAGTGAATGCCATTGTTTCTCAATCGGCAATCAATTCTGGTCACTCATCTTCTTTGACACAGCATTTTCATTTTTTCACTTGTCATTTCTGCCCTCACTTGAGATAGTGCAAATCTGTACCTACTCTTCATTCTATGTAATCAGGGTTTGCAGTTTGTGGTTTAAAGATTAAGAAACAGTGCCCAGTCTCCTTCATTTGCCTTTATTGAGCCTCGTCCCCAATGTGGAATAAATACAAATTCTCTAGAACTGTGAAGTCCAGTACCATGGTAACTTGACACACATGGTTATTTGAACTTAAACTCAAGTTCATTCAATTACATAAAATGATAAATGTACTTCATCGCCAGTACTCTATAGCTGGCAATGTGTGATTGACTAGAAGCTCCTCTAGTGGAAAATACAGATATGAACATTTCCACCTTGCAGAAAGTTCTGTTGCATGGTACACTCCTGCTCAGGAACACTCCTAATTCACTGACACCCACTCCAGCGCACATATGCATGCTTCACCTGTTCTTTCCCTCCTTTGCCTTATGCACATAATTTGTGTTGGTAAAACAAATGAATAAATTCATCCCAATGAATAAATGGATGAAAGACAGAATAAGTTTTTGGATCAGATTTCTGAAGCATTGCTAATATTAGTAAATAAAACTTGGAAATTCATTTTTACAAAGAAGTATGATAATGCCTATTCTACATACATAATTAAATGTGTGTAGTTGCTCTACATTTCTGCTCTTTTGTGATTGCTCTTCTTCTGCATGATGTTTTGAATTAGAGGCTCTGATTTATTCATTTATTCATTCAACAAATATTTTTCAGAGTCTATGTGCTGGCTATTCTTTGATCATTCTTCTATTTACTTTCCGGATGGAAAAGTAAATTCTGTCTTATTTTTTCTTAGTAAAATTTTGTTTGTCAATCAATTGCTTGATTATTTAAAGGGAAAAGCAGAGTAAGGAAATTTTTAAGGAATTGCAAAGATAGACCTTAAAGTTTAAATATATAATAAATGACTATCTCTCTGCCCTGTAGAAACACTGTCTTGAAAAATATAAAAATCCTTACATGTTTATAGTCAAAAATTGTGGTTGAAGAGCAGGAGCCCGCATGGACATTAGCGATGGCAATATTTTCTTCATTGTCAATTGTTATTGTCTCTTGAATATTGCCACCACTGTTGCTTGAGCTGAAGACGTTATAAATCTAGAATTGACAACAAAGACATAATGAGTTTTCTATTAATTGCATGCATTTGAAAGGTGGGACTTCCAGCAAAATAAAGCCTTCTAATTGCTCTGGACTCTATTGAAGGCTGAAACTTCTCCAGTGAGATGCCAGTCCAAAGGCCATGGTAAAATGACTTCAAGCTTTCCTTCAGAATTTACCATGTTATATAAGGGAGAAGCAATGACATCATGGGAAAAATTAAATTGGTCACATTATAAAGTAATAGATTTCATTTGCAAAGGTATCACAGTTAGTGGAAAAATAGCCATGTAATTGTTTTTATTATTGATTATTTGTAGGAGTCCATCCCAAATAGGGTCTACTGACTTTCTATGGTCCTTCAGATTGTTTTTTACCTTCTTTTTCCTTTCCCAAGTCTCTAAGGAACTTACTTACCTCATATCCATGAGATTGTATCCCAAAGATGGTCAGCACCACAAGAAATACCACCTGAAAAAAACAGACCAGTCATATCCATTCCCTATGGGGTAGTCACTGAGGATTGGAACAGCAGGGGACACTGGCAACCGAGGGACACCAATTTGTGGTCATGGATGACCAGCAGTCCATTTCAAAAGTGCAAAACACACACATTCACTCACTCAACAGGTATTTGTTGAGTTCATGCCATCTATCAGACACAAGGCTCTAACTTTGCCACCCATTTTTCCAACTCTTCCTCACATTATCACCATCTAGATAGCAGGAAAAGCTTGGAACAGATAAATAGATATGAAGGATTCATTTTCCTATGGCAATAACCTGGTATGATTCACACTGGATTTAGATTTTAGTGGATAAGGTATGTCTTCTGATTTTACAAAAAAAAGGATTAATTTCTTGAGACTAAGAGAATAAAACATTTAAGAGGGATTCATGAGTAATATAGACACATCCAGCTATGAAAACAGGAAACCCAGGCGCATGGCTAACTTTGAAGCTGACATCAAGGACAGCATCCATATTCTGCTACCACCCATTCCTGAGTGGAACAGCAGGCCATGAGCCGACATGGAGGTAGTTCTGATATTTTGCTGCAGCTCCTAAGAGTCTGATCCACCATGCTGATCTCAGTTTTGTCCTCTCTTTTGAACATCAGAATGAACTGCACCATCCTTACTGATAGAGGGTGTCTTTGGGACTTTTCTACTTCCCTTTCCTTCCCTCTCTGAACATTTCTCTTCTGGTACCTACGGTGGAACACCTAATAAAGTCCTATATGCAGATATCCAGCCTGTCCACTTAGACAGGGCCACATCTTCTCTTTCACAGGCCAGGCTAGGAACCTCTGATGCTCCTGCACACTCTATTCAATGGGTCTAGAACTGAGGTTTGATGCAATGGATGACTGGAGAGAGCTCTGCCCCCAAAATAACCTCCCACTCAACATGATGATTAATACACTGTTGTTATAAGTTTATACTTTAGAGTTGGGTCTCCTCTTGGAAAAATCTACAGACCCCTGAGAAAGGGAACTCTTTAGGTTGACAGCCTTTATCACCTGAGGGGAAGCACTCAACATTTTGCTTTCTCCCTTGGCAACTGAGTGAGAATAAGGGGCAGAGACTAAGACAAGGGGTTCCATGCTGGATCAGGACACAGTACACAGTCCATGGGGAGCTGCAGTATAGAACTACAAAGTCCGGGATCAGACAGAGGAGTGGAGCAGCCATAAAAGGAATGCTTTGCCTTAAGGGGTGATACAGACATGATAGCATTTGGACACTCTAACTGCTTGAATTTTGCCTGATTGCTCCTGGAAGTAGAGCCTAAGATGGATAAATTGCTTCATAAATTCCACATTTACAGGAGTGAGAAAATCACATTCCTCTGTGTGTCAGTCTCTTCATTTGCAAAGTGAGGATAATGCTACTTAGCTTATACGGTTAATGCAACCAATAAATGAGATTATTTCTGTGACATGCTTAGCCTAAGGCTTAGAATGAATTTGGGAAACTACAGCTGCTATTATTACTATTACCAATATCAATACTTTTTAAATTACCACTTCTCTTTTAAACAGTAAGCACAACTGTTCTAAGAGGCCTACATTACTTAAAAGTCATAACAAGGAATTACTACCAGTGTCTTCCAACTTAAAATTCTCTACATATTTCCAAATTTTGTTCTTCATATGAATTTAGTAAACAATTCAAAAAATAGACAACAGGTATGCAAATATCCAACTAAATATTCAACAGTATTCCTTCTAAGGACAAAGAGTCTTAGGGGTATGAACAGTACTTGTCTAAGACCCCTGAAACCCGTGACATGTTGGACGTGAGTATTCTTTGCAAGCAGCCACCACAAGAGAACCAAGAAGCATAAATACTCACAAGCGTTTTCATTTTGTCAGGAGGAAAGAAGGTGCTGAAGCAAGTGAAGCTACCAAGTGCAGCTTCTACCCTTTATATTGGTTTTAAGATGTGGAAATCTCTTTTTCAAATGACCATGTTGGAAGACATCATGTCTGTATCTCTGACACACCCCAGCAAACTCCCTTATCAGGACTAAGGCCCAACCACATACCTGGTATCAATGGAGTTCATTAGTCAGTAATGAAAATTCACCTCTTGGTCACTCTGCAAATACTCCCTGCTTATCTGTTTCATGCTGTACTTGAGATTTCAATTTCCACCCTTTAAAAATATTGCAAGATGCTTATTCTACACAGATAGAACAAGCATCTACAATAAGGACATATTCCTAAATTCTCCTCTGGAAGTAAAGTCTTTTCTTATGACCTGAACTGGGCCTCCATTAAGTGTTTTTTCATCACTGTCCTGCATGTTGACTTTCTCCACCTCAGGAATGGGCATGAAACTAGGGGTGAGGACAGTGGACAGTGGCTGGGAGCTCCACTTTAAGAACAAGTAGCCTTATGACTTTGTTTCTTCTTCCCTTTTAGAGTTAGTGGCAATTTTCAGAAACCATAAGGAACAAGGCTCAGAATTACCAGTACTAACCAAATGTTTACATTGAGTCTTTTCCAGAACACCATGGAAACCACGAGCTATATAATTCCAGTTATCTTGAGGGGCATTGAGAAATCCTCAGATTTAAAAAAGTGAGAGAATATAAGTTTTAACTTGTGAAATTTTTAGTGCCATGATTAGAAATGTCTAGTTAGCATTACAGTGGAATGATGAACTTATAATGCAATGACATTTTTTAAAAATATAAAGTTTTAAAAATTTGCAATATTGGAAAATATTTAAAATTTTTAAATTTTAAATATTGGAAAATATTGAGAATCACCACCATAAGCAAAAAGATAATATCACAGTATTGTTGTTCTATAGCTGAAACAATTTCCTAACTAGCAGCTTTAAAATATGGGTAAACCCTAGTCTACTGGAATTCTCTCTCCCAGCTGCTCAGCTGGGGTGGTTGTAAAATCTTTCGGAGATCACAGCAATAGAAAGGATTGATGTTTTATAGTACATCTGCAAACGTTCTCCCATATCTGGCTCCGGATACAGCAAAGCAAGCAGGTCATTCTTCTTGATATTAGGGCCAACTGAAGTATTATATCATACCTTCTGCTTTGTCTCCCTCCTGTCCTCAGGAGTTCTGACTCTATGGATCTAATGAGAATGATGCTTGGCGTTTATGGAGCATGTACTATGTAATATGTTTCAGCATATTCTAAACATTTTGCCAGTACTGAATCATTCATTTGATCCTCATAGCCCTGTAAATTACTTTCTATCCTGCTCATTTTACAGATAGAAAAGCCAAGGCAGGGAAATTAAATAACTCTCCAAGGACACACAGCTTCTAAGGGCAGGAGTTGAGATTTGAGCCCAATCTGACTCCATTGTTCATCCTTTTAAATACTAGACTATATATACCTTCTCTGATTAGTTGCTGGATAAGTGTAACTTCTTGCTTTGCCAAGAAAGGGACAGTAGTAGAAAAGCTTCGGCTTCCAGACTATTCCTTGACTAGGAAATTGTTTACAGTGCAAGAGTGCAAATTTCAACTGAGGGAATGAGAAGCTGTGTTTGTAAAAGTTGCTGCGAATAAAATTCATTTGCCCAATTCCCCCTGAAGGAGCTAAAACTGCAGACAAGGAAGGGTTCCGTGTTGAGTGGACCTTGGATCTCTGATGCAGTAAGACTGAGAAAGATTGCAGGCATACAAACTTCTAAAACTTCTGTGGGATATTCTGATTGAAAGCACTATTTCAAGTCTCATTCAACCCCCGCCCCCACCACACAAGGAAGCTAAGACCCAAAAAGAGATGTACCCAAGGTCTATTTACAGTTAATGACAAAAAAAAAAAACCTTTCCTCCTCCAGGCTTCTGGCTTTGAGTCCAATATTTCTTAGCACTAAAACTTTTGAAATAATACTTCAATGAATGAAGCTATGAAATTATGACTATTTATTCACCCACTCTACTATACGGCCATTTCTTTGTTGAAACTAAGAGAGCTGACAGACATTTTTGTACATTTCACATACCTTGGAGTATATACCTTACTTGGGCCAACTACACTTGCCCTGGCATCTGGTTCACCACATCTTGCCAAGAGATGGGATTCTCATACTTTTAAATTTTTGATGAGCATGAAATAATATCCATGATGGAGTTAATTTGTATCTATCCAATAATTACCATTGTTCCCAATGTCTTTAGTGTATTTTCCTTTTACTTGAAGTCTCGTTTTTCACATTTAATTTTACTATTTTTTAAGTTTACTGCTAAGTTGCAATCCAATTCAATTTTTTAGGTGCCAGTTAGGCATCCAGTAGTCTTAGCCCCTATTATTGAATGGTTTATCCTTTTTCTACTAACTTATAAAGTCATGTAGTTTCCCTTTGAACACTAACCTCATTGTTGTCTCTTTGCTTCATTGGTATATTTATTTATCCAAATGACAAAATATATTTACCTCTAGCAGATTTTATTTTCATTCCACAAGTATTTTACCAGGTTTTAATATTTCTTAATTTTCACTGTGATTTTCCCTATAACCGACCAGCTATAAAAGAGAATGTTTTTCAGTTTCATTAGCATAGGTTTCTCTCTCTCTCTCTCTCTCTCTCTCTTTCAACAATTCTTTTGTATTTACCAGGCATTTATATCTGCATGTACTATAGTACATTCTTCCCCAAAGCAGTCATTTTGCTATTTCTGTTAACAATTTCTTCAGGCTCACTTTGAGCCTTGGTTCTTCTGCCATTTTCCCTCTGTAATGCAGAGGAAATGCCTTTTATTCCAGTCCACCAACTCAAACTCCATCTCTTGTCCTCACCACTGCACACTCCCTACTGCAATGGCTTTTATTAGTCAGAATATTGGCACTAGCTGCTGTAATAAGTGATGCCTAAACCTTTGTGATTTGACAAAAACTCACATAAACTCTAGTATAGATGATCTTCATGGTGGGTAGCTTTGCTCTGTGGATTTTAGCTTCTTCCTTATGTGGCTTCCCCATCTTCAGTGTATGGCTTCATGGTTATCTTGATGCTGCCCCGGTGGCAGATGGAAGTTTAGACCAACAGCATGGAGAAGAGACACCTATTCTTAACTTCCTCAGACAAAATGTGACCACTTCTACTCATTATCCTTTGATAGAGCAGTCACACGGCCCCATCCAGATGTGAGGAAAATGGAGCCTTAGTTTTGTGCCTAAGAAGAATCTAGTCTATACCAAAGGCCAAAATGGATGGCCTGCCTCCAGGCTGCCCATTACTCCATCCTCAATATCACTATTAATTCGTGGCTTAAAAATATCACTTTGCCTACATTTCTTTTTGTTCAAAGACCTTAACAATTGCTTCACCAAGTATAGGAAAATGTTGAAAACTCTGAGTTTGACATTTAACTCAATCTATAGTCTTATTGAAAAGTAACATCCACAAGTAATATGAAAGAAGGTGCCATACTTTGGATCTTGAATGTCTCATAAAAGCCCATGTGAAAGGCGTGGTCCCCAGAGTGTGATTCTACTGGAGGGAGAGTGGAACCTTTAAGAGATGAAATATAGTCAAAGAAAGTTAGGTCATTAGGGGTGTGCCCTTGAAGAGGAGACAGACCCCTTTCTATGTTTCTCTCTGCTTTTTGGCTTCCATGAGGTAAACAGAGCTTCTCCAACATGTGTTTCCACCACCAAATACTGTGGTATTACAGGCCCAATGCAATACGGCCAAGTGACCATGGATCACTTCTTTTTTTTTTTTTTTTTTTGTCTTTTCTTTTTGGTGCTGGGGTCGAACCCAGGGCCTCACGCATGCTAGGCAAGCGCTTTACCACTGAGCTACATCCCAGCCCCCATGGATCACTTCTAAAACCATGAACTAAAATAAATCTTCCCTCCTTTTAAGTTTATTACCCCAGGTATTTCATCACAGCAATGGAAAACCAAATAACATATAAAGAAATATTCTAAAGGAAAGAAAGAAAAAGAGCCTACAGGGGTAGAAAGAAGTTCATGAACTAAATTGCCACAAAAGATACTCAAACCACCCTACTGTGCTGTTGTCCCCTCTCCCAGCATGACCTAGACGCCCGTCTTTTATCATGTTATTCTGTGTTCATACTTCCTTTACCCTTCCTTCTTTCCTTCTCTCCTTTATTTCCTTTCTTTCTCCTGTTCCTAATGATTACTTACCTTATGGAAATCACTGGAAAATATTCTGAAAAGGATGAAAGATGGGCTAGAGCCAAAGATACTCTGCTCTCAGAGAACTTACTATTTATCAGAAGATATAAATAACTCTTAAAAGATAGTAAATATGAAGGATCATAACAAAACATGAGTGGAATTATGATATTACAAAATACAAATTGTAGTGACCATATCTATCAAAGATAAACAGAACTGTAGCTATAGTGTCCATTGTTTTCTAAGTTATATAAAACAATCACACATTTCCTTTAATGGGCCTAACTTATACCTTTGAATTATGCCAAAGATACTGAGACTCTCATACTTAAGCCAAAACACACTCTTTACTGTGGCCCCCAGGTCTGCCCAAGTTCACTTTGACATGGTATATCAGCCTATGAATGTATTACCATGTTGTTTTCTGCAGTACCAGCAAGGGCTTGAAAGCTGTTGGGGAAAAAAAAAAGATTCAAACCTAAATGGTCCTGGGATGAGGGTGTGGTTACTTGCAAAAAGCTAAAGTAAATTCTATCATAAGCAAAATTGAGTTTTAATATAAGCATAGAACCATGCATGACATAAAATAATTGATTTTTAAAGCTAGAAAAAATACGAGAACTTTTATCTTATTTTGACAATGCAAAGGACTTTCTAAGACTAAAAGTTTTAGAATAAATTACAAGGAAAAGGCCCACAACCCTAACTGCATGAAGCGAAAGGTCATTAATT